CTTACCAATGCCGCATAGAGGGGAAGTATCAAGACCTGTTTGTGATGTGCCTTCTAATGCATGATTCTAGTTCTAATTCTAGTTTATAAAATCATCATCATTGTATAAAGTAGAAGGAGTAAAAAATCATAGTTTCATAGTTGGTAGGGTCGGAAGGGACCTGAGCAGATCAAGTTGAACCCCCTGCCACAGCAGGAAAGAGTACTGGGGTCAAATGATCCTGGCGAGGTGTTCATCCAGCCTCCTCTTAAAGATCCCCAGGGTAGGAGCCAGCACCACTTCTCTTGGAAGTTGGTTCCAGATCCTAGCCGCCCTGACTGTGAAGTAGCGCCTCCCGATATCTAGCCTGAATCTACCCTCTGCCAGCTTGTGACCGTTATTTCTCGTCACTCGTGGTAGTGCTGGGGGGAACAGGGGCTCCCCCAATGCCTGCTGGTCCCCCCTGACTAGTTAGTAAACGGCCACCAGATCCCCTCTCAGCCTTCTCTTGTGGAGGCTGAACAGGTTCAGGTCCCGTCGCCTCTCCTCGTAGGGCCTGCCCTGCTGCCCCCTGATCATGCGGGTGGCCTCCTCTGGACCCTCTCCATGCTGTCCACATCTCCCCCGAAGTGCGGTGCCCAGAACTGGACGCAGTACTCCACCTGCGGCCTGACCAGTGCCGCATAGAGGGGGAGGATCACCTCCCTGGACCTGCTTGAGATGCATCTGTGGATACATGACAAGGTACGGTTAGCGTTCCTGACCGCGTCCCCACACTGTCGGCCCATGTTCATTTTGGCATCAATAATGACTCCAAGATCCTTTTCTGCCTCTGCGCTTACGAGAAGGGAGTTCCCCAGCCTGTAGGTCTGCTGCTGGTTCTTCCTCCCCAGGTGCAGCACCCTCCACTTGTCAGTGTTGAAACCCATCCTGTTCTCATCCGCCCACCCCTGCAACCTGTCTAGGTCCGATTGCAGCCTATTCTTCCCATGGATAGAGGTGCATGGTCTGTCTTTATAAGACATTTCAAAGCCAGGGATAATTTAGATGCACACCATTAGAAAGCAAAGCCAAGGAAACCAAAAAGCATATGGCATAAGGAACTGAGGGAGGAGGGGAAAATATGAGCAAACAAAAGAAACAAAAGATTAATCTAGGCAAGGAAATGTTAAAAGTGTTGAAAAAAGTTCTGCATTTTACAGAGGAGGTGGTTCTGGCTTCTTTAATTCATGGATCTTCATTTATCTGGAACAGTATTCTCACAGAACCCCAGGCATTCTCATAGTCCTGCTACGAACATGAGCCAGCAGTGTAACGAAGCCATCAACAAGGCCAATCATGCCTTGTCATGCATTAGCAGATGCATGACCAACAGATCGAGGGAGGTGATGCTCCCCCTCTATGCAGCATTGGTCGGGCCGCAGTTGGAGTACCGTGTCCAGTTTTGGGCGCCGCACTTCAAGAGGGACACGGAGACTCTGGAGAGGGTTCAGAGGAGGGCCACTCGCATGATTAGTGGCCTCCGTGAAAGACCCTACGAGGGGACGCTGAGGGATCTGGATCTCTTCAGCCTTCACAAGAGACGGCTGAGGGGAGACCTTGTAGCTGCCTCTAAGTTTATCAAGGGAGGACAACAGGGAATTGGAGATGCGCTATTTACCAGAGCACCCCTAGGAGTAACTAGGAATAATGGGTGCACACTAGTGGAGAGTAGATTCAGGTTAGACATTAGGAAGACATTTTGTTACAGTAAGGGTGGCCAGAATCTGGAATGGGCTTCCAAGAGAGGTGGTACTATCATCTAACGTGGAGGTCTTCAAGGGGAGGCTTGGGGGTCATCTGACCTCAGTCCTCTTTCCTGCCGGGGCAGGGGGTCAGACACGATGATCCTTTGTGGTCCCTTCCGACTCTACAATCTATAAATCTATGAAAGATTTTACAGCTGGGCCATGAGCTGATGCCCCAAGTTTACTGTTGGCTCCGCTGAGTCTCATTCCCACACCCTGGCAGACCCTTACCGATGGCACTGAAAATAAATCATCACTGTTGTGTGATGACAGACATCCTACTTTGCAATGTACTTGTGTTCAAGCACTTCCCCCTAGGGGCTGGTGCTGCTCTGTAGCATTTTATATTGAGACATTTATTCCTTTTCTTGTTGATTATCTCTGCCAACTGCCTGGGTGTATTACTACAGTCAGGGACAAGGAAGGGGGGGAGCTGCTGAGGTAAGTCAGTGAACTCCAAAAGCGTATGAACAGGTCATCATAATCATAAGGTGAGATCTGCCATGGCTTGGCTTGGCCAAGAACTGAAAATCAAATTTAAAAAGCAGGATGAGGATGTCAGCTATAGGTTACAATTAGTTCTGTAAAACAGAGAAGTCACAGGATTTCTTTTTAGGCAGCCTGGGCACCAGTTTTACGTTCTAGTAACTATTCCAAATATTTAATTTTAATTTGCTGAATGAAGTGTCTAATGGAACAGGTCATATACACTATGTCATAATGGCAGGATTTAGTCCTCTTTTCATAAAGAGCAGATTGGTCTTAGATTAGAAGGAAGAACAGTACCCCAATTTAGGTGGAACTGTTGCTTGATTTGTGAGCAAGCTTGAAAGGAACCCAAAATAAGTAGCCATATGGAAGAGCATTCAATTTACTCACTTGGCCACACACAGCAATGCAGTGAGGAACCATTCACTTCCATGCCTTGATTGCACCCCACAGAGAGAACGTGAATTAAACATCTGCTTTTTGAGCCTTTTAAATTTCCTCCCTTAAGCTGGAACAATCCAGTCTGAAACCCAGTAATTGTACGATGACAGCATATTACTTCTTGGTACCAAAAAAGGACACTGCACAAGAGTTTATGCCATGAATTGTACTATGAACAGTCAAAAGATGATTGCACCTGGATGGCCTGTCCTGCTAGTGTGGTAAAGCACATGAAGTCATACTGTCAGTGGCACAAAGGACAAAAATGTAGTAACGCTGCATTTGACTCACCAGCCCAAGTATCTATTTAGAGAAAGGGCAATTAGAGACAGTCTTTGGGACAAGTCCAGCGTAAGGCTTGAACTCATGCCTCCTGTGCAACAGTAAGATTCTTTAAATTGCGTTGCCACTGCTCCTTTGCATCACAAGCAAGTTGATAGCACTGGCATTTCCCTCAGTTATTCTATATTTTTTAATACTAAGGTATTTTCAGATTTCACTTCAAGGCTAACTTACCAATAGGAAAACTCAACATGAAATGTACAGAAACACACGGCCCCTGCAGACAAGGGAGTGACATATCCATTTTACTTGATGGAGGAATAAAAGGGCCTTCTCCCTTCTCTAGGCATCGTCTTCTCCCCTGTTCTTGCTCCTGGGCTATTAGTCATCACTTCCTTCCAGTGGGCTCCTTGCAAATTGGGTCCCTCTTCCAAATTCATCTGTGCTCTTTCCCCCTCCCTCCCAGCTAACTTGAACTTTCCAAAGCAGGGAGAGAAAAGAGCAGGCAAGAACAACTTTAGTTGTTCCTTCTCCAGAGCCTTTAATACTGATGAAACAGCAGCATCTCAAGGCCAAAACCAAAATTGCAGCATTAGCTACAAAGCAAGCCTCCAAGGCTGTTAAGAAGAAACCTATCTTCTCTTCCCGAGGGCTGCAACAACTCAGGGCAAAGTTTTGGAAGGTGGAGTCCTTCTGTGAAGTAAGACACCTTCCACAACACAGGAAAAGTACTGAACACCAAATTCCAAACAAATGTACCTGTGAATGCCAAGATTTGTACTTCTAGATAGCAGGTTGGTTTTGCCCTTATGAACGACCCTTTTTTTTGTTGGAACATTCTCACAAAAAGTTTATGGCTGAATCAAGGTGAAGGGAAATGTATACTTCAAAATAAAATGGCAGAGGTTCTAAGCTGTTAATATTAAATACTTCAAGCAAAGTCTAAGACTCTATAAACCACACGCACTTGGAAATCCTGATGAAATATTTTACTCAAATGTACAACGATTAAAAGAAAATTCTGTTAAGACAGCCACACTACAGCATAATGACGACTGCCAAACTGAAGCAGCAAGTCAGAGATACACTGCAAAATGAAAGCTGCGTCTTCAAATTAAGAAATTTAATATCTGGCCACAAAAGGAATATATTTGTCTCTCAACAGACCCTAGACTAATGTGAAAGCACTTAGACCTACTTTGCAGTATAGAGGAACACAATACCTGGGAAATAATACTAATAGATTAAATCACTCTTTTCAATGGTATTAAGTATTATTTAAATTTGTTCACTTTTACCTAACTAGAATTCTTCCCAATATAATTAGTTTGATAGTGGTGTTTGATGACTATGCATATATAGAGGTTGCAGGAGGCAACCCACCTCCCCTGCAAAAAAACCAAAAGAAAGAAAGAAAGAAAGAAACAACCTCCCCACCCCCAACAACTAACATTTAAATAGTAAGTGAACACTTCTGCTACATTATGGCTGTATTGCAGTAATTAATCAGATTACATTAACTTTTAGCATTTATCAAACATTCCACTTACCTAGAAGTGACCCTATGTGACTGGCAGTACTTCAACCCAGCCAGTCAGCCTTTTATATTACAGCGTGGGGAAAAAAAGACAGTCTTTCTAATGTATTGGACTACTATGGCCTACAGCCACTATTCAACACAAGTCTCCAGTAGTTGCAAGGCAGAAAAGAAAAATACTGCTCTAGCAAAGTACAAGCCTCGATAAGTTAATTAACAAATATATAAAGCTGTTATAAGAACCAACCTAAACAGATGACTAATTCAAATATGTATTAAAAAAAAAAAAAAGACTGAAGACGTCTGATGGATTAAGGTAAGTGGCCAGCCAGCCTGTTACATTTATAAACATAAAAAGCTAAATAAAAGATCTCAAGATGAGCTAACACCCCCCCCCCCCCCCCAACCAACAAAAAAAAACACAAAC